AATGTGCAGAAGAATTGTGCTCCACTTACATACAAGATAGAAAACCTCCATTAAATTAGATTTGGGAAATTAGGAGGGGGAAAACCCTTTTCATAAATGCACAGTGAATATGTGGGATAGTTATTGAGGCAGCTCTTAATCTTGTATTCATTTGATTTGGCTGTAATGTACAGTCAGTTTCAGATCTCCTGTTCACACCATGTTTATTTATACATAAACTGTTGGTGTGCGCCTTTCCCAGCTTAGTTTCTGGTTCAGATCAATCTCAATCAATATTTCTGCCTGCTAACACAAACTGATTTCCGATTGGATTTATATAGGCTAGCATTGATGCCCCATTAAATAAATTGTAAACAACACTGTAATGAAATGAAGAAAACAATTTTGGATCATATTTATAATAGGTACTAGGTATAAGATGTTAAAAGTGAACTTTAGCAAAACGTGAAATTTAAAGTTGAAACATTGCTTACTATAAAATATATATTCACTTACCTCTGTATCAATACCACAACAATTTAACAATTTAGTAATAGCATTCAGTAATAACATAAACTGTCACCGTATCAGTGATTAACACAATCACAAAAGCAGCTTTAATGTAAGTTATTGAATAGCAAAACAATTAGTTTTTGCAGCGTCCTTGAATCACTATAAGTTAATGCCGTAAACGCATGTAAATGCAAGCAGATATTTTAACTTACACATGAGTGTAGACCTAGACAATTTGATTTCAATTAAAACAATTAAAGAAAGACTTCAGATCAGTGGAAATTGCTTCCCTTCCACCATTCCAAACACAGAGAATAACATAGATGTTGAAAAATAACGAGAGGTTCAAATGAAGAAGACCCTTTGATCTCATCCTTTCAGATTACACACGCCAAAGTCCTCCCATTACAGCATCCAGCTGCTTTTTAAGTGAGTGCAGTATTCCATCCCACCGCCTGATTGACATCCTTTCATCACTTATATATTTAGTTTCCTGTTCCAGTAAGTTGTTAAAGAGCAAGTCCATAATTTCTTAAATGAATCCAGTGTCCTGGCCTCAACTACTCTTCCTGGTAAACTGTTCCACTTGCTAATTACCCCCCTGGGTAAAAATAATTCTTCCTCACATCTGTCCTGAAATTGCTCATGGCAACCCTAAACCTGTGCCCTCTTGTTGTGCTTTCTTGGTGTTTTTCAAAGTATTGTTCTGGGTTTATTTCACCACTAGAAGGTTTCCTCTGAGACATCGCTTTTCAAGGCTTTGGAGCCTCGGCTGTCAAATCTTTGCTCATAACTTATTCCTCTAAAAATAATGCAAATAATAGCATTTGATATAGTGCCTTACACATTAGGAGGAGATCTCAAAGTGTGTCATAGGATTTACCGCAAAGTGTAGTGACTGTGTATTCTGTATGTGTGTGTGTGTGTGTGGGGTGAGAAATCAAACTTGCAGGTGTGGCAATTGATGCGTTGTCAATTAACACATTCTTCTTTAAAAAAATGTGGACAAATATCTGATTAGGAACCAAATAATAATAATAATAATAATAATCCTTGCATTTGATATAGCGCTTTTCACGTCGGGAGAACGTCCCAAAGCGCTTCACAGAATATACTGTAAGTGAATTGACTGTATATTTGTGGGCGAACGCGGCAGCCAATTGCGCACAGCAATGTCCCACAAACAGTCGTAGATTGAAAATGACCAATTTATTATTGTTTTTTGTTTTGGAGGGATTATTATTAGGCGTGTGGAGTAAGGAAACTTGCCCAAGGTTTCGCCCTGCCTGGAATTGAACTCAGGTCTCTCGCTTGCAAAGCGAGTGCTCTAACCACTGAGCTACAGGACTCCACAGTCAATATTTTTTTAAAAAAATACACATAGGGGGATAATTGTGTGGAGCGTGATGGTTCCTATGCTGCAAATTGAAGAATTATGCTAAGGAAGGTCAAGGATTTGTAATGTAGGACAGGATATTCTGAACGCTTCGTCAATTTATTTTGGCCGGCAGAGGATTGTGCAGAAATGTTGCAGTTTGTTTCCTCAGCCCTATGAAGTGGGTTGGTAAGCGCTCCGGGACGCTACCCCCGCATGAAGGGCACTATATAAATGCAAGTTGTTGTTGTTGTTGGTGGTGGTGGTGGCAGCATTGGCAGATTTTATGCAATATGTGAAAGAAAAGGAATTGAAAGGTTTACAAGTGCACAAAGTAGACCATTTGTCCCATTAAGTATGTACATGTCTTAGCTTCTGTAATACCACCCCTTTGCTCTTTCTGAAATCCCCTTTAATGTTATTTTCTTGGTCAGCGCTTTCTTGGTGTTTAGGTGCGGTGACATACCTTTATAAAAGCCATTAAAACTTGGTGAGAAGGATGACTTTAAAATGTCTTTGGACTCTCCTCCAGAATGCTAAATTTAAAAGCCACACCACAAACTCCCACTGTCATACAGCGAAGAGCAATTTTATAAAGAGAATGTTTTGCATTATTTTTTCTATCACCAAAGGAGCTGCAAAATGTGTTGTATCTCAGAGGCTGTTAAGAGTGAGCACTTAGAATAGAACTTTTAAAAGCCCATGTTTGACAATATTCATAGCAGTGTACTTACTGTATTTGCTTGATCAAACCTCTCTACTGTTCAGCATATTCTTACAGACACTTTGCATTTCCAGCAACTGTTTGAATCCTAAGCCGTCTTTAACTCCCAAACCCAAGTGCACTAAATCTACAGTCATTAATTAAAATTAATGAGGCACTTTCCTGACATTCAGGTTAATACAGTTCCTGCAAACAAACCTCGACAGAGAGCAATTAACATTATGTTTTAGTATAATCCATTCAAGATACACAGTAAAACCACACAAATGATAGGTTCAATAACACAATGAACACACGTTTGGAACTAAAACGTTGGTGTGCAATTATTACTTCATATATATACATATATGTGGAGTCCTGTAGCTCAGTGGTTAGAGCACTTGCTTTGCAAGCGAGAGACCCGAGTTCAATTCCAGGCAGGGCGAAACCTTGGGCAAGTTTCCTTACTCCACACAGAGCCTAATAATAATCCCTCCAAAACCAAAAAACAATAATAAATTGGTCATTTTCAATCTACGACTGTTTGTGGGACATTGCTGTGCGCAATTGGCTGCCGCGTTCGCCCACAAATATACAGTCAATTCACTTTACAGTGTGTTCTGTGAAGCGCTTTGGGACGTCCTCCCGACGTGAAAAGCGCAATATCAAATGCAAGGATTATTATTATTATATATATATATATATAAAACCACCGGAGTTTGAGAAGAGTAAATACATGTGCAGTAAGTCCTGGACCCAGAATTGCCAGCGTTGCCCTCAAAGGTTGAACAATCTGACAATCTGCTGATGGTCTAATCGAAGTTGCTTCACACAACGAAGCTGCTGCTTTAGCGCAGTGGCTGCTGTGGGCAAAGACTGCAGGTAAAAGGTGTGCCAGCAAATTGGGGGGTGAATTACAGAAATTCGTGGGTGGGGGAGAGGAAGGGAGAGAGAGAGAGAGAGAGAGAGAGGGGGAGAGAGGGAATTCTGTTGCAGAATGACCGATGAGCTGAATCGGTGACCAGATATTGCACCGCACCCAGAGATCAATAAAAGGAAGTCGGGATCGATACAGGAGGGTCGATACCTGAAGGAGGTGCATGTGAACCCCATTCATTTCAGATCCAAAGGGGTTGCAAACCCCTTTGGATCTGAAATGAATAGGGTTCACATGTGTGTGTGTGTGTGTGTCCCCCACACACATGTGAACCCCATTCATTTCAGATCCAAAGGGCTTTGTGCAGTCACCGTACGGAGTCGTTACAATACTGTCGAGAAGGGGCTACAGTTGTAAAGGACACTGACCCGAGCAGATCGTGTCTTCGAACGGCTACAAAGTGCAGCTTCAGCTTTCGACAAATGTTTCCAAACACTGTGCACGAGTCCCAGAGACTCATTCATTCGGCGTTGTCGAACGCTCCGAGTAACTGACTCGAGGTCGAGTGCAAAACACTCCCGAGGGAATCTGCATTAAAAGCTCCTGCAACTCTCGCCTGTGCACAGATTGTAAAATATTTAAGGCCATCTCTCTCTCTCTCTCTCTCTCACACACATACACACACAGACACACACACAGACAAGTGTGACAGTTCCAGGTCAAACTCCTGCCTGCAGACAAGGTCCTTTGCTGATGAAACTGCACACTGGAAATTGTCCCCTTTTACTGCACAAAGAAGGGACCATTTACTAAAAGAGAGCAAAGTCAGTAACGACACGAATGCAATGCACGGAATTACACTGCTTTTACTCTGGGTAGCAATATTACTCTTGGGAATAACTATAGAATAATCTTACCGTGGGACATAATGATGTGATGGGGTGCAATAATAAATATTACTCTGGGATTACTCAAAAAACAAAACAAAAAAACAAAACTAAACAAAAAAAAAGAAAGTCCTGTGCAAGAGAGAGAGAGAGAGAGAAAAACACGAGACAGAGAGAGAGAAAACTTACCATGAAGACAGATGGAAGAAGCGAACAACCAGTCTACGTTTTCCACCAACTTAATGTAACATTGGGAGGGAGGGAGGGAGGGAGCAAAAAAAAAAGAGGTGATAACGTGATTTTCTTTTTTTACTGTGGACTCCAGGAGACAGCAGCAGCAGCAGCTTGTGGGGCAAGTGGACAGAGTGACAGTGGCGAGGTGCAGGTTGCAGGCAGTGGCAGTGTGTGAGCTGCAGACAGACAGACAGACAGTGTGAGGCTCAGTCACTGCAACACTGTCACTCACTCACTCACTCACTCAGCGTTCCACGAACAGCTGGTAGAGTCCCCCCGCCGGGCGCATGCGCGGCTTCGCTCCACCCCCCCCCCGCCACCCCTCCCACACTCCCGCCCGCTGCTGATTCTACGCATGCGCACCTCGCTGTAGTTCAGACTTCACGGGAAACTACACTTCCCGGCGTGCCCCCCGCCCCCCGCCCCCCCCGGGCCGCCGGCAGCGCAGGCGGGGAAACATGGCGGCCGGGCGGCGGGTGGCGCTCAGAGCGGTCAGGGACGTCACCGTGCGGTTCTGTCCCTTCGACGGCAACGTGCGGTCAGTCAGGTCAGAGGGCAACCGCGACGGCTTACGGTTGACTATCGCGGCCCTCACGCGGCGGCGGTGTGTGTGGGGGGGTGTGTGGGGGAGTGTGTGTGTGGGGGGGAGGAGGAGGGGAGGAGGTGACCGCAGCCACGATGGAAGAGGGCGGTTTCCTGACCTGAAGATGGGGAGGGAGAGGGTCAAGGCGGAGGGTCAGAGGCAGAGTGTCCCCGGGGTGTAGTGGCTGAACGCCCGGACACCGCTGGCGGATCAGGGGCCCCCGGGGCCACCAGGCGCGTCCTGGTCCGCGCATTCGATACAGCGCCGCATCGCGCCTTCGAGACGTCTCAGAGCGCTTCACTGAGAGCCCACCCGCTGACCACACGTGTGGCGGCTGCGTATTTTGTGGGCGAAACCCGGCAGCCGACTGCCCGCAGCCCCGTGCAGTCCCACCAACAGCCGTGGATTGACAGTCGAGCGGAGGCAGCGGGTGGTGGGTTGGGGCAGTGAGCAGGTGGGAGAGGTCGGGAGGTCGCAGGGCATTGAAGGGATTTGACTGTGAGGATCTTGACATCTGTCGAGAGAGAGAGAGAGAGAGAGAGAGGGTCTGTCAGGTGATGGAGGAGAGGTTGAGGGTCGGTCAGGTGAGAGAGAAGAGGCTGGGGATCCAACAACAACATTCTTACTTTTGTTTAGCTTTCATGTTGGGAGGACGTCCCAAGGTGCCGGACAGTCAAAGATGTGCACCCGAGCTGGGGGTCGGGATCAGGAAGTGTGGAGGGTAAGGGGTTGGTGGGTAGGGAGGGTGACCGAGGTGAGAGAGGAGAGGTTAGAGAAATCTGCCTGTGGAGGGGAGTCCGCCTGATGAGAGCCGGGAACGGGATCCAGCGTCCAGGCTTTGTGCAGCCTTCTTGACAAGCTCCGTTGTTAGCCTTAGGACCCACAAAAAAATTGTGGGTTCAAGCCCCATGTCATGGTCCAGGCTGACACTCCAGTGTATTTCTGGGCAGTCTTACATTGCCAGAGGATGTCCTTTGGGTAAAATGTTAAAGTAAGGTCTTTTCTGCCTGTTTTTGGTGGACATTTAAAAGTTATATTACCTGTGTCTTGGTCAAGAATTCTCCAGACTAATTGTGGTTCACTGTATGAGTGTTTTTCGAAGACTCTTGAGACTGTACCCCGCCTGAAGGGGTTATATAAGTGTAAGTTGTTTTTGTATTTGGATACTTAGTGGCATAATTGACTGTCATGTTTTTCTACCCAAACTTTGTTGACAGTAATTATTTATGAAATGCTTCTGTTTGTTTTGATATATGACACTATAAAATGCAACTTTCAAACCTGTTACAGTTACTGTAGAGGCTTGTAGCTCAGTGGTTAGAGCACTCGCCTTGCAAGCGAGGCACCTGGGTTCAATTCCAGGCAGAGCGAAACCTTGGGCAAGTTTCCTTACTCCACACACCTAACAATAATCCCTCCAAAAAAAATAATAAATTGGTCATTTTCAATCCAGGACTGTTTGTGGGACACTGCTGTGCGCAATTGGTTGTCGTGTTTTGCCCACAAATATACAGCCAATTCACTTTACAGCGTATTCTGTGAAGTGCTTTGAGACATCTAGAAGACGTGATAAGGTGCTATATCAAATACAAGAATTATTATTATTATTATTGATAAATATCTGCATAAAGAAACTTATTTGTGTCCTTCTTTGCAAACAACTCCAAACTTGTTATCCTGTTATCCTAAAAACAGCCGTCATCACCCCCATCTTGAAAAAACCTTCCCTGGACCCATCCCTTCTCTCCAGCTACCGCCCCATCTCTACCCTCCAATTCCTCTCCAAGGTCCTGGAACGAGTCGTCGCGTCCCAGCTCCGCTCCATTCTTTCTCGCCATTCTCTCTTTGAACCCCTCCAATCCGGCTTCCGCGCTGCCCACAGCACGGAAACAGCCCTGGTCAAAGTCACTAATGATATTCTGAACATCTGTGATCAGGGCTCCCTCTGCCTCCTTGTCCTCCTCGACCTCTCTGCCGCCTTTGACATGGTCGACCACTCCATCCTCATACTCTTTATTTAATCTTCGCGGACATGCCCTTGCCTGGTTCGATTCCTATCTCTCTCACCGTGGCCACTTTGTTGCCTCTAACGGTTTCTCCAGTCCCCACACTGTCACGTCTGGCATCCCCCAGGGCTCTGTCCTTGGTGCTCTCCTCTTTAATATCTACATGCTCCCCCTTGGTGACATCATCCGCAGACATGGGGTCAACTTCCATATGTATGCGGATGACACCCAACTCTATCTCTCTGCCTCCCACCCTCAACTCCAGGACCACTACTGTCCTGACAGACTGCCTGTCGGACATCAAGTCCTGGATGAGGGCAAATTTCCTACAATTGAATGTGAACAAGACTGAGGCCCTCCTGATTGGCTCACGCCAGCGCCTTTGCACCTCTGGCTCTGGCACCATCAACCTCCATGGTTGCACACTTCAACTCACCAAGCCAGTCAGGAACCAAGCTGTCTTGTTCGACCCTCAACTGTCTTCCCCACTCTGCCTTCCCTCACCTCCGTAACATAACCCGACTCCGCCACTACCTCACCCCTCAGGCCGCTGAAACTCTTGTTTATGCCTTCATCACATCCAGGCTTGATTTTGCAAACGCCCTGCTTGTCGGCCTTCCCAACTCCTCCCTCCACAGGCTGCAGATAATTCAGAACTCTGCAGCCCGTGTCCTCTCCCGCACCAAACTCCGTGACCCCATCTCCCCCATTCTCACCTGAATCAATTGGCTCCCTATCCTTCAGTTCTATCCAGTTCAAGATCCTGGTCCTCACCTACAAAGCCCTCCACGGCCTCACCCTACCTCTGCGACCTCCTAACCCCCTATCAACCTCCCCGCTCCCTCCACTCAGCCGGCTCCGGCCTGCTCCACGTATCCCGACCCACCCATCCCACCATTGGTGGGAGAGCCTTCAGCCACTCTGCCCCCAACCTCTGAAATTCCATCCCCCAATCACTCCACCTCACCCCCTCCTGAGCCTTCTTCAAGTTCCGCCTCAAGACCCTCCTCTTCGACCATGCCATCAGCCACCCCCTTCCTTTCCCCTCCCCTCCCTTCTCTCCCCTGACCCCAGCTCGGGTCTTAAATGCTGTTACTGTCCAGCGCCTTGGGATGTCCTCCCGACATGAAAGGTGCTATACAAGTGTAATCTTGTTGTTAAGCCAATTCCACACAGCCAGCCCTCTTGAGATGGCTCTTTAAGAGGCTAACAAACCTGTGCAGCCTATCCTCTATGTGTGACACCCAGAACTGTCCAGATATTAGTCTGGTCAATTAGAATATTAGATATTCATGACCAGATATCAGTCAGTTCTGGGTGTGCTTCCCTCCTGATCAGATCTTAGTGAATACTCCGGGTTTAGGATCTCCTTTGTTAGTGCACATCTAGCAAACCTTGAAAGGAGAACTATGTGGATGTTAAATAATTCTAGTTCTATCTAGGTTACAAGGGATAATATGTGGTTGACGAGACCTAAGAACCTTCAATTTATTTTCTTAACCAATTCCTGTTGCTTTTTTTTTAGAGAATTTCTTGCTGCAATAGGAACCGAAAAGGCACGCCTAACCAATTCCAACTGTCAGATTGTAGCAGATGTAAGACATGATACGTCAGAGCCCGTTGTAAATGTCACTTTCAGTGAGTATTGAAATTGTCTGAAATTTCCTTTCTTTCTCCAATTGTCATCTGTGATCACTTTGGAACCAAAAATAACAAAGTGAAGCTGATCTGATGGCAGATAGTCAGAATCTTATTGCTGCTAAGAGCAAGTTTATAATTGTTACATTGTTCGTGGTTCGAATTGTTAGAGATGAGCAACTTTGTTAAGCCTTTATCTGCAAATACCTGGAACCCGTATTGTCGATGCTAACACTGGAATACAGTTCTGGGGGTGTCCTCATTGTCGATGGTGTCAGCCTTCGGAAGAGACATTAAACAGCGGTCTGAGCTTCTGTCTTTTGACTGAATCTGATAGATTTTTAAAAAACAGAGGGATTAGGGGATATGGGGATAGGGCAGGTAATTAGGGTTAGGTCTGAAGATCAGCCATGATCTTATTGAATGGAGGGACAGGCTCGAGGGGCCGAATGGCCTACTCCTGCTCCTAATTCTTATGTTCTTATGTCCCATCTGCCTGTCCAGGTTTCTGAAATATCTTAAAATAATGACCTTTTAAGACATTTCAGATACCCTTTTGTCTAAAACAAATTATCTTTTCGACAAAATAGAATCTGAAATGTCTTATCACTGCTAGTAACTTTAAAATTAGAGAAAATATTGCTAATGGATTCAAATATAGCAAAAGTGCAAAATCCCTGTATTATCCTGTAAGAAGATCCCTGTTAGACAATTATTTGGGGAGGACAAGTTTGCAGGGCTATGGGGAGAGAGAGAGAGGGAATGGGATTGAATTGGATAGCTCTTTTCAAAGATCAGGCACAAACACGGTGGCCAAATGGCCTCCTTATGTGCTGCATAATTCTATGAAGAGTGTAAGGCTGATTGCACAGCAGCCAAATTATTTTAAAACAATTCGTTTTGAAGGGAAGGGGGAGCGTTCAGGCCAGTGATAGTGTGCTACTTTGTTGGTTCACATGGAGAACAGACCCAAATCACCATTTGTTTACATTCACAATTTGTTTCCAACTTCACATTTGGTATTGGTAAAAAAAACTGCAATGTAATGTAACTTTAAGGCTGCCAGAATGAAAGAAGGTAAAACTCACATTTGTTGTATCAGTCATTTTAATATTTAATATGACTTGCCCAAATTGCAGCAACCTTGAATAAGTCATATAAAATCAGCTTTAATCAATAATCTCCCCTCGAATGTGTAATGCAATGCAGCCGGTAAGTACATGTGTGGTGGTTCATTAATGCAGCTGGTAAGTGCGTATACTGTACTTTGTGACTGCAGCCAGTACGTGCAGGAGTAATGGAGGACAGAGGAGAGGCATTACAAGTTAGAGGATGATTGATACAATGAGTGCAAAGAAATTAAGTAGTTTTGATAGGAAACTGAATGAGACCTGTGTGCATATCTGATTTAGGCAATTGTATGATTTATAAGACTTATGTGAGTTTTACTTATCTCAGAATCTTGTTTTACTTGAGTAATTTTACAAACACTGATTTATTTTTATGGAATCATAGAATTATAGAGCACAGAAGGAGGCCATTTGGCCCATCGCGTCTGTGCCAGCTCTTTAAAAAGAGCTATCCAAATCAATCCCACTCTCCCGCTCTCTCCCCATAGCCCTGCAAACTTGTCCTCCCCAAATCATTTTCACTTCTCTTAATTTCCACCCCCTCCAAGAAAAAACATCAGAATGCAAGAACCTTGCTAAAAGTCAAAGAATGACAGGCAACTCCTCTTCAAAAATAAAAAGTAGCCTAAGGTTACAGTGGGATACTTATTTGTATATATAGAGTCTGACATCTCAAAATCTTGAGCAGATGACAGGCTTTCTATATTTCAGATGCTGCTCCTAAATTGAACACCATCAATGAGTGTTAGTACAGCTATTGTACTAATATTATGCTTGTGTAGCCTGTTCTGTTACAGCTGCCTGAGGTGAATTCTAAGCCACTGATCCATTCTACTTCTGTTCAGATCCATCACCGAAAACTAATTGGGCCCATTTTGTAGACAATATAGTAGGATTTCCATCTTGTCCTGCAGTATTTCTGTAAATGATAAATATTTAACTGCAATTGGGTTGACCTTTTAACACAACGCACAGATGATGGTCATTAAATGTTGGCAGTATTTTAATTTTAGGAGATTTAAATTATGATTGATCCAGGTATTTGTTAAGGTTTGTTAAAGTTTCATTTCAAAGCTGTCTAAAGCTTTTATTAATGGCTGAAATGAATTTTTCAGTGAGGGTTTAAATGCTTTTTCATCTATAATTCTGAATCTGCAAAATGTATACCCTCGATTGTATTAGAGTTCTCTGCTTTTCGCATGTAGATTTTGTTCTATAAAGCAGAAAGGCACCTGCACATTGTGTAATTCTGCAGTTCCCCTCTGTCAGTCATGCAGCCGCTCCATGAGATCATTCTTTATTCATCTGTGCTGGAATATGTCACTCTGGGGAAAGAGTGCGCATTCCATTCCAATAAATATCGGGAATTTTCATATGTTGGGTAAATACATGGAACTCTGTTTATTTTGGGTACTCTTAAACATGGTGATGTGCTTCCAGACACCCGGCTGATCAAATAAATCTGTGACGGATATCGCATGGATGGAGTGAAAAACATAGATGTGAATGTGGCAAGTAATCATGAGATTCAACTGATGCCCCAATTGTTAATATATCCATAGGTGAAATATTAGATGGGAATGAGAGTGGCACATATTCTTCCTGTTCACATTGCTGCCGATTAAGGCAGAGCTTCCCAGTTAAGTGCTCCAGCACACATGAAGTACTGATTACTTGCCTTTGACCATCAATGATGTTTCTTACAATTGAAAAGGGCTGCTAATCCCATAAGGTTTATTTAATGATTTGGAAATTAAGCGGTGCAGTTTTTTTTTAAGTTCCAGGAAGTGTTAAAAACAGCGGTGGTTGCATCTATAGTTGATCTAGAGCACTCGTGGTACATCTACTGAATTAGACTTCTGGTTTTTGTAAAAGCTGCAGCGCTGAATGGCATGTTTCCATTCAAATGGTGCAAAGGATTATGATGTACTGATAATAATAATAATCCTTGCATGTGATGCAAACTTGCAAACTCTGACTGTGAGGAGGCGCTGGATTTCCTCGAGTCCAAAATCGAGGGGATTCATTCAGCTGCCTCCGCCCTCCCAACCGACACTCCCTCCCCATCTCCCCTTCATGCTCCAGCCCCTACTCGTAAGTTCACACAGCAAGGAAACTGCTCTGGTCAAGGTCACAAACGACATCCTGTCCCTCTGTGGCCAGGGCTTCCTCTGCCTCCTCGTCCTCCTCGACCTCTCTGCTGCCTTCGATACCACTCCATCCTCCTCCATCGCCTCTCCCCTCACCTCAACCTTTAAGGTTCTGTCCTTGAATGGTTCAGGTCTTATCTCTTACACCATATCCAATTTGTCTCTGCCAACAGTTTCTCTTCCAGCCCCTGCACAATCTTGTGTGGTATTCCTCAGGATTCTGTCCTCGGTTCCTTCCTCTTCAACCTTAACGTGCTCCCCCTTGGTGACATCATTCGCAGACATTGGGTCAACTTTCTCATGTACATGGATGATACTCAACTCTATCCCTCTGCCTCCACCCTTGATTCCAGGACAACTGACATCCTGACTGACTATATGTCTGCCAACAAGTCCTAGATGCGAGCCAACTTTCTACAGCTGAATATCAGCAAGACCGAGGTCCTCCTGATTGGCTCATGCCAGCGCCTCAGCACCTCAGGCACTGGCAGCATCAGCATCCACGGATGCACACTCCATCTCACCAAGCCAGTCATGAACCTGGGCGGCTTGTTTGACTCTGAACTGTCCTTTCTCCCCCGTATCCATGCCATGACCCGCACTGCCTTCCCTCACCTCCGCAAAATTGTCCAAATCAGCCACTGCCTCACCCCTCAGGCCGCCGAAACCCTCATACACGCATTCGTCACCTCAAGGCTCAACTACGGAAACTCCCTCCTTGTTGACCTCCTTAACTCTTGCCTCCATAAGCTGCACATCATCCAAAACTCTGCAGCTCGTATCCTCTCCCGCACTAGGCTCCATGACCCCAGAACCCCCACCCTCACTTGGCTCCACTGGCTCCCCATCCCTCAGAGGATAGAATTAAAAATCCTCATCCTCACTTTCAAGGCTTTCCACGGCCTTGCCCCCTCCTACCTCTCTGACCTGCTAACCCCCTATCAACCTGTCCACTCCCTTCATTCAACAGGCTCTGGGCAGCTCCATGTCTGTTGCCCGACCATCGGCAGCTGGGTTTTCAGCCTCTCTGCCCCCAACCTTTATAATATATAATAATAATACTTGCATTTGATATAGTGCCTTATCACGTCTTCGAGACGTCTCAAAGTGCTTCACAGAATATACTGTAAAGAGAATTGACAGCACATTTTGTGGGCAAAACACAGCAAACAATTGCGCATAGCAGTGTCCCACAGACATTCATGAATTGAAGTGATCAATTTATTATTAGTAGTAGTATTTTTTTTGAAGGAATATTAACCCCCGGAAAAGCGATCTGCCAATCGACTAGCAACTGGGTTCCTACTTACCGCTAGTTAAACAGAGGCGTCTGGAGTAAGGAAACTTGCCCAACAACTTGCCGAACCCAGGTCTCTTGCTTGCGAGGCAAGTGCTCTAACCACTGAGCTACAGGATTCCCTTTGGAATTCCATCCCACAGTCCCTTTGCCTTGCTCCCTACCTTGTCTCCTTCAAGGCATGACTCAAGACCCTCCTTTTCGACCATGCCTTTAGCCGCCATCCTACCTCTCTGCCCTCCCTCATCCCAACCCTGCCCACCCACGCTCGGGTCCTGATCCCTTATTGTTCAGCGCATTGGGACGTCCTCCCGACATGGAAGGCGCTTTACAAATGTAATTTTGTTGTGGTTGATATACCGCCTTATCACGTCTTCAAACCAATGATATGGTATAATTGCAGCATATGGTTTTATTGATGCACTGTTTACTATACAATATGTCAGTGTGGCTTTTAGCTCTTTAAAATTTTGGTGATGGGTGTTGCCAGTTCTGCATATTTTTAGTCTCTATATTTAAACTCGTAGTCTTCTTGTGTCCTTCCTTTTGTAAATCTGTTTCCCTTTTCAGCATTATCGTTTGTACTTGTGTAGAATTTATTTCACAATGGTAGAGAGTTACGTAAATATATGAAGCCTGTAATCTGAATACAACCACTGCTACTGAGAAAAAAGATACGGGAATACTTATTTATTCAAAGAATGTTCTTGTGCATGCCAGCCTCCCTAATACCACTCCGCATAAAGTCCAACCTGTGCAAAAGTTTGCAATCAGTGTTTCCCTACATTAGGCTCTTCATCTATAGCCATATTCCACTGCCTCCCAGGAACCTTTATGATCCTTCTCCTTCTAAATCCTTTCATGGTCTCGCTTCTCTCTGCAATCCTAACCTGTTGCTTTTACCCTTTGGTCTTCAAATTCTGGTCTATTCCTTAACTACTGGTGGCCAAACTTTCAGTCAATCATTTTACATCATCTGAACTTCTCTTTTAAAATCTCTTTGCCTTGCTTCCTCTCTCCCTACATTCAAAACCTTGCTTTAAAAAAAAACTTTATTTCACCATGTTTTTGGTCACTACCTTTAAATCTCCATTTGAGGTGGTTAGTGCTCTCCATTAGATCTATTAAGTACATCAAGATTTTCACTCTTCATAAAAAGAATATATAAGTGCAAGTTGTAAAATTAAGTTTTATTACTTCAATGTACTCTATAGTTTAATTTTTATAAGCACTAAGAATGAACATAGTAAATCTAATGATGAATTTTGCAGTAATGAGCAATTAATCACTGCATGTGACAAAGATTTAATTTGAGCGTACTGTGAAAATTCTTTACCATATTTCATTATTTTCTTTCTATATTAATTAGATTATGCCCTTTCTGTGCAATTTTCAGGATTTATCTGGTAGGTTATTAATGCTAGTAATTTTCAGGATATTGTGTTCGGCAAGAGAGGATAATTATGCTTTTAAAGTTTATTATTTTTTGGAAGGAGAAAAAGAAATTGCATTTGTCCATTTCACTTAGTTGAAGTTGCTATCAGTTAAGTACTAAAAGGTTCTGCAGATGAAATCTAGCCTATCATTAGCAATGCTGATGAGTCCCAAAGCAGATTCAAGCTAGTTTTCATTTTACTGTATATGAATAGTTTTCAAGCCACTGTATAGCTGGTTATATTCGTTTATTGATTATTAGTCACTCTGAATGTACAGTGGTTATTTTTGATTGGAAGTGGTCGGAACAATAAGAGACAACAACAAATTATATTTGTATAGACCTTTCAAGACAAACAGAATCAAAACTGTAATACTTGTGCATATTTATGCATGTACTTAATTTATTACCTGACAACAACAACAAGATTCCATTTATAGAGTGCCTTTCACGTCAGGAGGACGTCCCAAGGCGCTGTACAGTTGGGTCAGGACCCGAGCAGGGGGGAAATGGTCAGGGTGAGGGGAGGGAAGGGAGAGAGTGAGGAGGGGGTAGAGAGTCGAGAGGGGAGCCGAAGGCACGGTCAAAGAGAAAGGTCTTGAGACCGGCCTTGAAGGAGGAAAGGGAGGAGGCGGCGAAGGCACTGGGGGATAGAGTTCCAGAGCCTCAGGGCTGAGAGGCTGAAGGCCCGACCACCGATGGTAGGGCGGTTGGGGTGGGGGATGTGGAGCAGACCGGAGCCAGAGGAACGGAGGGCACGGGCAGGTAGGTAGGGGGATAGTAGGTCAGAGAGGTAGGAGGGAGCAATACCGTGAATGGCCTTGTAGGTGAGGATGAGGAGGATCTTGAATTGGACAAGCCACCAGCTAATCTTAGATGTAGCTAATCTTGTTGCTTGATTATAAAACAAGGTCGTATTCATTCTATGTAGGAAGCCAAATATTCTGATGCCTGATTAACATTTGGCATATTTCATCTGCAAAACCATGTGACAAGTGTAGCTCAACCACCCACCCCTTCCCGAGAATGATATTACTCAGTGATTATCTGTATATCAACATTTTTAATAGGAATATCTTTATAGAATTGTGTAATCTCATTAATGATCAATGCTTTTTGATGTTATGCTACTTTTTTTAAGGTGAAAATAAATTCCATTGTCTGAAATATTATGATCAATTGCCACATTAAATCTTCAATTAAATGAAACTGTTTCACCATTTTCAGCTATCTCTTTGAATCCAAGAATTTATTTTCTGGGAACGAATCTCATTGCCTAGTTCAGTGCCTGTAGCTTTCTTTTGCATGATGACTATTCATCAGCTAGTTCAACAGTGAAGGCTCTTAAAAGAGCTATCACAGGCACGATGGGCCGAATGGCTGTCTTGTCTGTAAATTTCTATGGTTCTAATCTGCTTGCACTATGTTTTCAGATCGGTACGCTACTCCTACAAAATGTAACAGGAGGTAGCAATAGTTGGAGGTTTACTAGGTGCTCTGGTGGCTTCATAAAAATAGAATTTTTGACAAATGGATCATCTGGAGTGATCTAGGAGCCCCCACCTCACCAACATTAGTCAAATGGATAACGAGCATGTTGTTTGGGCAGGACATTACAATAACAACAGCAGCAGCTTGAATTTATATTGCGTCTATCACGCAGGGTAGCGTCCCAGAGTGCTTGAAAGTGGTGGAGCATGACGCTGAGCCGGGGTGGGGGAGGGGGTTTTCAGGTAACCGTTAGCACGGTCGAATAGGAAAGTCTTCAGGCGCGACCTGAAAATCGGGAAGGAAGGGGTAAGGTGGAGGGATAGAGGAAGAGTGTTCCAGAGTTAATAATAATGATCCTTGCATTTGATTTAGCCCCTTATTATGTTGCTGAGACATCTCAAAGCACTTCACAGAATATACTGTAAAGTGAGTTGACTTTATATTTATATATAATATATAGATATACACACACGTAAATGAGTTCTGGACTATCCTTGATTAGAGAACTTTGCATCAGCTTAGGCTCTGTGACTCAGTTACTAAAAAACAATAATAAATTGTGCATTTTCGATCTACGACTGTTTGTGGGACATTGCTGTGAAAAGCGCTATATCAAATGCAAGGATTATTATTATTATATGTATACTGTAATGTCTGTAATTCAGTACATTGATTAGAAACTTGTCACTGTGCCTTATATAAGTCGTTGTGCCATTAAAGCTGATTAGCTTGATAATTTTTAGAATTCAAACAAGTTGAATATGCATAGCCTAGAATAATATCCAATTTCACTCCAAAGATAGATAAATATATATTCAGAAAGTTTGTGTTCTGTTTTCTTGCACCTACAATTACTTCTAAGCAGCTTAATTATTGCAGTGGATAAGTGAACACGGTTTGCAATTCAGCAAAACATAGTTTCATTTGATTTTGTAAATTGGAAGATATATTTATGGAACAAAAGCATTGGATTAAATTAAAGGCGATGAAGTGAAGATTCAAAAGTTATAGGAATGTTTGTCTTAAATAATCAGCTTGGCTTTCTTCTTGGAGAATTGTTCTGCAGCCTTGTAACTTTGTATTCTTTTTTTTCTCTGCAGATGATGGAGAGAAATTAACAATGAAAGGAACAAATTTGACCTTCAAGGAGCTGATATCATTTTTCAGTGAGCGGTGCGCTATGAAAGACCCACAAGCACAAGAAACAATGGTCTCAAAGTAATAGTTCTGCACTTATAAAAAAAATTATGTTGTGTATTTATGCACATGTAACACATGAAGTCCGTTCTGCACATCGATTGGAAGAGTTGAATGAACCTCACATTTATAAACAAATTGTTCACTTGCAGAGGAGGTTAGCTGTCCAGCACCTCATTCAACATTCAGCCGTATTTTATTTTCAATAATATTTTCTTTGTGGACTGTGACCTGTGTCAATGCTGTATGCAGTATCCTAGATATTTTGTCAATATGCACCATTGTGCATTCAAACTTACTGTATCATATGAACCATATTAAAATAGGCAATAAACAACTGTGGTCTGACTGAGATTGATCTTGCCAATATAAAATATTGGACAACAATGTAAATGATTATCCTTTTGTGATTGCAAACTGGTGAATCTGAAAACTCAGTAGAAGAACATTAAACATCTTCCGATTGTTTCCCTTGGTATTTAATCTTGGGGGAAATCACAGACAAAATGTGCTCCTATTTCATTTTAGAGCTATTTCTAAGTCAATGACTGACTAATTTATACCTTTTGCTATCTCTAAGTGTCTGAAGAAACACTTAACAGCACTGATTGTACAGTGTATTAGAGGTTTTTTTTGGTTAGCTAGGTGTCTGGTGCTGGTGGAAGCTAAACACTAGGCTTAAGAGTAGCTAAACCAGACAGCATTCCATATCTTGGTGTCACCTACATTTCCCCGTGTTTGAGAACGTGGAACTTCCAACAGTTTGATGCCCAATGGCAGGAAATTAAAATTTCTCACAGCGGAGAGCAAATCAAATGTTTGAATAGAATGAATGAAAAAATGGTTATACACAATGACTAAGTGGAAGATTTTGATAAAAGTATTTGGTAGGAGCATTGCTCTCATTTCAGTGAAACCTTTTCAACTGATGAGTTCCAATCATAATCGATCATTTACCTACAAAATAAACAACCACTACATTTTACAGTAAATCCTGTGAAGCACTTTGAGACGTCCTCCTGATGTGAAAGGTGCTATATCAAATGCAAGGATTATGCTTACACACTGGACTCATTTTTTAAGATTAAGGCTGTTTACCTTTCTTTAGCTGTGGTGTAAATTTAACATAGAAAACATTTTGACAATATTGCTAATATATGCAGAATAGGATATGGAGTTAATTCCACATTAAAGGGCTTAATGGGGTTTGGGTACAATTTCTTAGAGTGGGGTTTTCTCTTTGTACAATCATGTTAGTCTCTATGTGAACATAAGTGTAGTATGTTGGCACATGTGCAGTTTGAGAGCTGTTTCCCACGAGTATATGCAGGTGGTTCATTTGAAATTCTGCTTTTGTTGTGGGTGGGCAGGAGTGTTTGAAGCAATCAGGCTCTCAATGGCCAACTTTTTTCTCTCTCCTGTTGATTAAAATCATCCCAAGGCACAAACTGGGAAAGCTGCCAGTAGGAGAATGAGGCTGAACAGTTTGTTACAACTGCTCTTTAAAGTGGCCCTGTACCGCAATTGCAGTATTACACCAATAAATGTTGTTTGCCTTCCTAGAATACAGTCACTTTGACTCGAATAGGGCAGCCACATTAGCTTCTCTGAAATCTATTTAAGTTTAGCTATCCCTTGCCGCCCTCTGGGAAATTACCACCTCCCACAGCTAATTATACAAATGACTACACTGCCTTTAAAGAAATATATATCTGTAAATGGGTATTTTTTTATTTTGGAATTTAGGGGAAAATTTCAGATTTTACTTTGTCATCAAGAATAATGAAACCCATTCAATGATCGTATAAGATATTTAATCTCAATATTTTATTAAACAAGCCATTAGCACCATCTCCTGGCTGCTGATAGTAAGTGCACTGGATAGTAAGTGGTTAACTGATTACTGTGGACAGCAATGACCACAAATGTGTGGACACTGAAATAAAGAGTTTGCTGTAGTTCATTTATTTCTCGGGTATACAATGTGTGGAAAAGAAACAAAGGAGAAGGAATAATCGAGAAAGTAGGGAAGTTGCCAAACAAGACAGCAAGCATTCACTGTGATTTGTTTTTAACCCACAGATTTTGCTCCCTTTACATCTAACTGCAACGATTTGTTCTTTTTGCTGTCGTTTTGTTCAGCCACAACGTCAAGTGCCACATATGCATGGTAATTTCACTTTGTCTGGAATTGGAATGTGCACTCTCCTCAAAGTGCCTGGCAGTGGAATAACAGAATCGAGTCAGTTCTCTGCGGTGGGTTTGGTAGTCCGGTTCCTGAGCCAGGCAATACTCAAAGGCACTGTTCATAGAATCATAGAATTATACAGCACAGAAGGAGGCCTTCGGCCCATCGTGTCTGTGCTGGCTCTTTCAAAAGAGCTATCCAAATCAATCCCACTCCTCCGCGTTCTCTCCAAGGCCCTGCTAACATGTCCTCCCCAAATGTTAATGACAGACCAGCCTGCCTGGCTCATCAGCAGGACTTGGAGGGGCAGACTTGGGACAGGGATTCTTCACACTCAACTGCTAACCGTGCAAGCCAAAATCCTAATGAATAGAATATAATTAAGAACGTCCAGCATGGATTTATGAAACAATGGTCATCCTTGACCAACCTTATTGAATTCTTTGTAGATGTAACTGATAAAGTAGACAAGAAATGTAGGAGAAAGATTAATATTTGGGGTGTGATATGTGTATCAGATGATAACCCTGTTGTCTGAAACCAACGTGATTCAGTAGCAATACAAATGCCCTGCGGGAGGTGCACTTGTTCAGGTTTCGAAAGCAATTGGAACTCAACCTTGTTGCACTATTTCAATCCTTCCACAATGTAAAAGCAACATGCCCCAGGGTATTTTTTACAATCTTCATTCAGAAATTATTATACATTCATACTTGCAGACTTCATACTTGCAACTTTTTTTGGTCAGCCAGCTGTCTGACACATGCGGAAACCCATTAAGAGTATTCAAACCAAACTGAGAGTTTGATACAGCCCATGTATGCATGGAAATTCCAGAGATATTTATGTGATATAGCACCTTATCATGTCTTTGAGACGTCTCAAAGCGCTTCACAGAATATACTGCAAGTAAATTGACGCTATTTTGTGGGCAAAACGCAGCAGCCAATTCTGCACAGCAGTGTCCCACAAATAGTTGTGGAGTGAGTGACCAATTTATTATTATTGTTATTATTTTGTTTTGAAGGATTATTACCCTTAAAACGATTCGCCAATCGACTAACAAACGGGTTCTACGTATTGCTAGGTAAACAGAGGCCTGTGGAAACTTACCCATCGTTTTGCCCTGCTGGGAATTGAACCCAAATCTCTCGCTTGCAAGGCACTTGCTCTAAACCACTGAGCCTCAGGATCAATATAATACAATAAATTCATGCTTGCAATATTCCTTTCTGCAAAACAGATTGATTGCTAGTGCCATCGGGTTAAGGTATGTTTGATAAAGTGTGCGGGCTAGTTGGCAGGGATGCTTCCTCACAGGAGCACAAATTGTCTACTCGTCATTTGCACAACCAACGCATATGGTAGTGTCACATCTGACTTGGGCTGGGTTTATTCTCCTAGTGGAATGGATGTTTGAGGTCCAAACAGGTATCAGAGCATCATAATCTTGGCATTAGCCATTCTCTCAGTCATTTCAATTATAGTTTTAAATGGTACATTTAGAAACTGCATTCATTTGCTAATTTCCATATCCTCCGGATGGGGTGGGGGGGAGAGGGGGATTATTGCCAGACATTAAAAATTCCACTGTACTAGTTTTGGATTTAATAAAAACGGGGATCAAATGGATTTAATTCCAGTGTTGGATTCCTTGAATTGAAATTAAAACAGGACCAAACCTGAAATTATTTTAGCTTTGGCGCTTTTTAGATGCATTCAAATTGTTTTGATTTGTGACACGTGTTGTCATTGGATGGGAAAAGCTGGGAAACTGAACGATAAACCAGGAAGATAAAAAGAAAAAAAAACTATCAGTGCAGGAAATCTGAAACAAAAGAAGAAAATACTGGAAACAAACAGCGGAAAATCAGCAAATGTAAGAGAAAGATTAATATATGGGGTGTGATATTTGTATCAACTCAGCACCCTGTTATCTGAAACCAAGGGTGTACATTTTGACTGTCCAGGGCTTTGGGACATCCTCCCAGTGTGAAAGGCGCTATACAAATGTAATTTGTTGTTGTTGAGTAGTATTACAGATTCCTTACAGGAGGTGCACTCATTCAGGTTTCGAAAGCAATTGGACTATTCTCTTGTTGGGCTATTTCCATCCTTTCATGGTGTAAAGCAACATATTCAAGGGCTCGTTTCTTTATAGTTTTCATTTAGAAATTGTTACACTGTACCTGAGTTATTCACAGAAAACCTGAGCAGACTCAGTTTAATAGACAATCAATACGTTTTCAATTAAACTAAACATCCAGGATTTGCATTTTGTCCACAAAATATACAGTCAATTCACTTCACAGTATATTCTCTGAAGCTCTTTGAGCTGTGATAAGGCGCTGTATCAAATGCAGGGATTATTATTATTATCGACAATGAGAAGTGCAGACTTGATATTTTAAACAACTTTGGCAGAAACTCAACGGTTCGTACATGGGAATGAGCACCCGTTGCTCTCTTTTGTGAGTATCATTTTATTAATTTTGGATTACGCATTCTAAACTCGTGCATTTATTGCCATGACAATACCCTTACAGAGGCGATTGGTTTTGATACTATGCTAATTCACGTGTGATGAGATAGAGAAAAGTGCAGGGCTGCTCTCTCACGTGCTGCCTTTCTGGCCACTATTCCTGCAGTTACTGGCATTAAAGAGGCATTTGCTGATGCTGAAATATTTATTGTTTTGGGAGGTTTTTTTTTGTTCTGTGTTGGATTCGATTTAATCACTGTTTCGCCTGACCTTCTCAGGCACGATTGGTCTGTGATCTCCACACGTGGTGCCTGTGAGAAGCTTCAAAACGTGGGGAGACAGAGAGGCAGCTGCAAAGTGAACCCAGTGTTGCAGGTGGATCAGGCTCAGTACTGTACATACAGCAAGTCACAATGGCTGCACGTTTCATGGGGACCTGGAAATTAATCCGAAGTGACAATTTTGATGACTATATGAAGGCTTTAGGTGAGCAATTCTTCCTTTATTTGTGTTTTTTTTTGCTTAAAAATCTTGTTTGCAACAACAACAACAAGATTACATTAGTATAGCGCCGTTCACTTCGGGAGGACATCCCAAGGCAATGTTATATTCCGATAGCATCTAATCCAAGGATTGTTGTTGCAATACTCAACAATTTTGTTTGGTGAGTTATAAACTTGACTGCATGTCCATGAGAATTTTTGCCCACAAAATATACAGTCAATTAACTTTACAGTATATTCTGTGAAGCGCTTTGAGACATCTCAACAACATGATAAGGCACTTTACGAAATGTAAGGATTATTATTATGATTAATTGTATTGCGATGTCACCACTACCAAATATTTATGTTCCCATGATTACACTATAGTCAACCTTCCAAAGTGATAAACACCTTTTACTACATTCAAAGGTTCAGTGCATTGAAATCAATACAGTTCTCTTCCTTTATGCAGCGCAATCGATTCATTGTACACTCATTATACTTCCACTACACTGTTGTTATTGGTATTTATAGTTACTGTATCTTCAAATAGACGCTATTTTACACTGCAAGACTTTTAACTTGCCCCTTCTCTTAGGAGTACCATTTACCTTAAGGACCCTGGGTACTTTGACCAAACCCACAACTATCATCTGTGTGGATGGGGACACTGTCACTCTCAAAACCCAAAGCAGTGTCAAAAATACAGAAATCAAGTTCAGACTCGGGGAGGAATTTAACGAGATGACAGCAGACGGCAGGGAAACCAGGGTGAGTAGTTCATGAATAACCACACAAATTATTTTAAAATACTGTATCTCCTGATAAAATTTAAGGATAAATTTTTTTTCCTTGCAAATTTCCAACAGACCACAGTCACTATGAATAACGACAAGATGGTCCAAGTGCAGAGATGGGATGATAAAGAGACAACTCTTGTGAGAGAACTGAAAGATGGCAAACTAATACTGGTAAGAGGCTCTCCCCACCCAGCGGTTGTATCACTGGAGACCGAGTGCTGTGGCTTAGTTGTGTATCTGCTATTTATGCTTTCTGATTTGATTCTCAAAACAAAGCAGATTTTTTTTTGCAAGAATGGTGACACTTTGTCTTTTTTTAACTCAGACTTGCACCATGGGAGATGTGTTCAGCACCAGATATTATGAGAAAGAAGCTTGAAGGCATGGACTGGAGGAGGAGAAGGAAGGGCTCAGTTCAATGAGCCCCTGTCCTTTGCTGCTATTTTGTTGTAGCCAACTTAACACATTGTATTTTGTATAACCAAAGTACAAACATTGCCAAATCTCTGCAGCTTTAATAAAGTGGTGTATTGAGCAAGAGAAGTCTGATGCTGTTTGATGTGCAGAGTGGGTGTGTATGGGTGGGTGGAAAAAAAGCTGAGTTGAAATTGGAATTTCCTAAAACACACTGACTATTGATCAAGCATCTTGTTCACTCACAGCTAAACACAACCTCTGCACATACATCTGGCAGGACAAAGCTGCAAAGGGACCTTGTAGTTCCGATAGAATTTTTTAAAAATGGATCAGAGATTGTCAATTTTTCTCCTTAAAGATCAGTCCTGATAAAGTTGATGAGGATTTTTGAATTTAAAAACACTATTGCAGCTGGATCTGAATACAAATCACATTGAATCTGCCAATTTTCCTAACTTTCGCCTCCAACAAAGACCACATGCAGAGCAGGTCACAACCATCGATCTGCACACTGAAGGTGGTGTTTGGGCATCTGCTGTGCGCAATTGGCTAGAATGTTTCGCCCACAAAAATATACGGTCAATTTACTTTACAGTATATTCTGTGAAGTGCTTTGGGAAGTCTCAAAAATGTGATAAAATGCTATATCAAATGCAAGGATTATTCTTATCATTATCTACTTCAGAGACTTAGATGTCCAAACATCAAATGCTAGTTGTGTTTTCTCACCAAAGTTAGATCAATTGGATTTAAAAGGTTTATACTCTTAAGAAGCTATACACAGAGAGATTTTTTACAAATCCTGTAAGCAGCACTGTACTTTAAACTGATTTTTAATGGGGGGAGTGAACAATGTAAAGGCCTCAAAACTCAACGTTACCCCCAAACCCAAAGCTTGTTTACTTCTTAGGTTTATTTTCGACCGCGCCTTTGGCCACCTTCCTCCCCCTCCCCCGGCTCGGTCCCGGGATAATCGACTGTAAAGCGCTCTGAGACGGCGTCCGGCGTGGAGGGCGCTATATAAATCAAAGTTGTTGTTGTTCTTCTCGACACTATTCAAAATGGTGACTTCCTTGAATGTATCAGCAAAAAGCAAGGGAAGCTTATTTTAAACCATTGTACAAAGGAGCTGTGAGATTCTGGGCATCTCGTAAGGAATCCATTATCATCTGGCACCAGATTGATGGTAATCTAGACGAGGGATCGTTCCAATTTATTTCTCAGTGGAGAAAAAACAAGATTGGAGAAATGCATTGAAGTGGTCAATGGCATTGGATTTAAGTAGTAATCATGATTAGTAAAACATTAGGCTAGGTTTTCTCACCACAGAAGTGATTTCTATTCTGTGTCCCTGCGTGTTTGCAGAGTGATTTCTATTTACTGGGGAAAAAGGTAATAATAATAATCCTTTCATTTGATATAGCGCTTTATCACGTCTTCTCACCAATTTATAATAATAATTAGAGTAATAAGACAAGTAAACATAGGTAGGTGTGGGTGGAAATTGGAAAGGTGTATTTTTCTGAGAGTGAGAAGCTAACTACAGGACTTTGAGATCTCGAGGTGATGAATAAATGTCAGTAGATGAGATATAAGACTTTACAGCAGTCATTTGAGCAGATTCCTAAGAAGGTACAGGCTCCAATGAAAGTTTGTGGGATCAGCATGGATGAGGGTCTCAGGAGCCTGCGGGGAGAGGAGTGGCAGATGGATTCATGTTTTGCATTTTGTCACCTTCAGTTGTACAACAAAATTTGTCTTCAATGATCGGGCTAAGGAGGTATAGACTTAACCAAGTGACAACTGCAGAAGAATCCTCAGATCTGGCTCAGCTCATTAATTCACTGGTGCATCAAGTTGTTTGTTGTCAGTACGTGTTTAGAAAGCTCAGTTATGATATTCCTGTCTGTTATTTGAACTGTCAGTGGTTATATGGCACATAGCTTTTGGTGGTTTATTCAGATTGCTCAGTGTTTCTAGTTGTAGTTTTCCATTGTATATTCAGTAATCTGAGTAGTATGGTTCTTGAGCCAGGCAGTTCCGCAGTATTGCAGGGCATTGCCGATGACAGCACAGCCAGCCTGGCTCATCAGCAGAACCTGGAAGGGCAGACCATTCACTGGGGGCAGAGAGTCATCCCGCTCAGCAACTGTTAATCCTGCAAGACTAATGGGTAGGGTGGTCCTAGCTGGACAAGCAGTGGGAAAGCTTGTCGGACAGCAATATCAATGACAAGCTATGCGGTTTTAACTGGTTATACTCCAGCAGTACCCCAATGCACATTCCGGGGTCCCCAAGCCTTGGCTCTTGCCGACTTGCACCTAATACTTTCTGGAATTAGGTAAGCAGATGCATCCCTCCAGGGAGAGTCTTCCAGTCCAACAATCTATCTCTGAGATTTCCATGTATAGGTGGGATGCATGGAAATCTCAGCTTGGTTTTGCTACTCTTAAGCATGGTGATTGGTTTCCATACATGTCAGCCGACTGACCAAAAGAAATGTCCTTTAGGATTTTCTCTTGGACTGCTTTATATCAGAAAATTGCTAAAATTCACAACATTGGTTCAGATGAAAAAGTCCCTTCTATCCATTTGATCTCATCCTTCCAGAATACCTACCTAACTGTACTCCCATCACAGCTTCAAGCTATGTCTTAAATTAGTCCAGCGTTTTGGCGTCAACCACCCTTCCCATAACCCTTTCCAGTCGTTAATTATCTTCTGGGTAAATAAATACTTCCTAGTACAAAAATAGAAGTCATTGGGAACACTCAGCAGGTCAGGCAGCATCTATGCAGAAAGCAAAGTGAGTCAACGTTTTGGGTCCATGACCCTTCGTCAGAACTGGGCATGTTGGGAGGGAGAGGCTTTTAGGGGCTAACAGGGAGGGGAGAGGCAGGGCAAGTAAGACAAAGTTTCTCATTTTTCCACTTATAAACATTCCCTTGGTGCATCTGAAAGTATTGTTCTGGGTTCACGTTTTCAACCCCATTTATAATATTTTATACCTCAATGACAACAACAAATTATATTTGGATAGCATCTTTCACATTGGGAGGACGTCCCAAGGTGCTGGTCAGTCAGTGATTTTGAACCCTGGCAAGGGGTTGGGATCAGGGGAGCTGAGGACAGGGAGGGTAAGGGTAGGAGGGTGGCTGAATGCGCACTCAAAGAGGAGGATCTTGAGACCTGCTTTGAAGGAGTCAAGGGAGGGAGAGATGAAGGGAGTGTTGCACAGTCTAGACACTGTGTAGTATTGGAGGAGTGCTACAGGGTAAGTCTCATCCTTTGTATAAGACGTGTGGCCAAAAAGAGTTTGATCTGGCCAAAATTCTTTCAAATAAATTGGTCATTCATCTCGTGGCTATTCATAAAATAGCTAATACATTGGGATCATAGTGTTATACATTTCTAATGTTGTGGTATTTAAATGCTCAAAAATGATCAGTGAAAAGGAGCCAAGTATAATAATAATTACAGTTGAACAAAAGAGTTTTACTTATAATCTGGTAGAGATCAAAGCCATACATCACAGGTTTACTACAGGGTGAATTGTAGTATCACAGATGACATTGAGTAAATGTCACCTGTGATACTACAATTTGAAGATGTTTATAATTAAATAACGAAACAAGGAATCATTTGCCTTTATGAATTGTCTAATTGGTAGCTCCCTCTGTTACAGTGAAATAAATGAATTGGCATTTGACCAGTCGTAGACTCACACTGAACCTAGAGTGCAACATTGAATTATTTTGGTGAAATGCTTTTAAAGTGTTTTTTTGACATATTTTGTGTGTAGCAAAGGAAATAGCCAGAAAGGCAATGCTAGGCAAAGGCAAACAAAGGCAGACTGTGAAAAGAAAAAAAGAAAACTTACGTTAAAAAAATTACATAAAAAAACATATAAAAATTTGAAATAAAAGCAGAATAATCTAGAAAAACGCATTCGTTTGACCAGCATCTGTAAGAGAAAGATTGACTTGATTAACTTTAGAGCACTATCCTTTATCAGAAAGCAACTGCATGCTTTAATCCAACACACAGTGCACCAGGGGCACCTGCAAATCCTCCAAGAGTTCAGGTGGAAGAAATAACCACAGGTTTGGAGCAGTATTGCAGATGCCCTCTAGGGGGCGCATTTGTTTTTGTTTCAAAAGTAATAATCCTTGTATTTGACATTGTGCCTTTCACATCAGGAGGGCATCTTAAAGCGCTTCATAGGTTCTACTGTAAAATGACGTACCTGTGTATTTGTAGCTGAATGCAGCAGCAATTTTGCACATACTAATGTCTCACAAACAGCCATAATAATATTAATTATTATAATAATAATCCTTGCATTTGATATAGCGCCTTATCATGTCTTCGAGACCTCACAAAGCGCTTCACAGAATGTACCATCAACCATCACATGGTTGCCAATGTGATGGTTGAGTTCTGACGAAGGGTGGTAGACCTGAAACGTTGACTCACTTTCCTTTCTCCATAGATGCTGCCTGACCTGCTGAGTGTTCCCAGCGACTTCTGTCTTTGTTACATGGTTGCCATCACATTAGGTGGCTGCCCAGACCCTAGAGCCAGTGTAGAGATAGGCAATGAGGATAATTCCCAGTGTTCGAGCAATAAACTACACACAATGATTAGATTAAACAGAGCTCTTCAGTCTTGAAAAGCGATGTCTCAGATGAGATCTTATAGAGATTTATAACATTTTAAATGGGATTCAAAAGCTAAACCCATAACTAAACTTTCAGATGCACCAAGACAGTAGAGCATAGGTTTAGAAGGGCAAACCGCAATTTCAGGACAGAAACCAGGAAGTATTTCTTTACTTACTGGGTGGTTAACTGGAACAAGATACCAGAAGGGTGGTCGATGCCAGACTTCGACTCGTTTAAAAACAGCGTGATGCTGTGATGGGAATTCTGAAAGAATGCAATCTAATGGACCGAAGGGTCTTCATCAACCGAACCAATCTCGTGATTCCATGATAAATCTTTTCATACCTTAACGGTAATCAAGCAAAACTCCAGAGTAGTTATTGATCTCAACAACTCAACAATTTCCTTGATGTCTTGCTTTGGGTCGTGCAAAACCCATGATTTGGGGTCACTTATCACCACGCCCCACCGGTTGGCCCAGTGTTCAAGGTGGCTGGTGCAGCGCAGAAGGTCCCAGTTGAGTCTGCCAGCAGCACAACTTTTATCCAAACCAAGGCAAGGGCTGAGAATTGGGATTAAAAGATTAGTCACCATTGGGCTGAATTGCCTTTCCTTCTTCTCCTAATGTCCATAACCTGCCGGTCTGCAAGCCTTAGTTGTCACCAGTCAATACAGTAACACGCAACTGTTGCTGAACATATTCCAAAACATGTGCATTCACATGTAATATTACAGACAACAATCTGACAAAGAAGGAACGTTGATAATTATTTCTTTTAATCTATGCATAGCAATAGGTAAGTGTTGAAAGTCTATCTTGGGGTGGGGGTGGGGGGGGGTGTCAAGCAGGTCAATGCTGTGGGCTGCAACTGCACATGATCCTAACCCTGAGTGGCCTGGGATTGGTTGGAGAGGGTTGGACTTGCTGAGCTGGGATTGTGTGCTGGAGCCCTGGTGGTGCTGTGCTCTCTCTGGGTCTCTGATGGCTGTCTGGGCTGATTGGACTGTGATCTCCACACGTGGTGCCTGTCAGCAGCTTCAAAACCGTGCGGAGGCACAGAGGCAGCTGCAAAGTGAACCTGGTGCTGCAGGTGGTTCAGGCTCTGTGCTGGGCAATACTGGGCTATAGTGTGCTGGGCAATACTGGGCTGCACTGGGCAATAGTGTGCTGGGCAATACTGGGCTGCACTGGGCAATAGTGTGCTGGGCAATACTGGGCTGTACTGGGCAATACTGGGCTGTACTGGGCAATAGTGTGCTGTGCAATACTGTACTGTGCAATACTGTGCTGGGCTGCACTGTGCTGTGCAATACTATACTGGGCTGTACTGTGCTGTTCCGGGCAATACTGTGCTGCGCTGCACAATAGTGCACATACCGCGGGACACGATGGTCGAGCAGTTCGTGGGGAAGTGGAAATTAATCGAAAGCGTCAAATTTGACGACTATATGAAGGCTGTGGGTGAGTGATTCCCTCCTCTGATGTTTTGTTCGATTCCTGGAGATCGTCAGCCTTCCCTGGGCTGCTCCGCTCTGCTGCCTGTGCTGTCCTGTCCTGTCTTGTGTTGTGTTATTCTGAACTGTACTATCCTGTGCTGTGCTGTGCTGTCCTGTGCTTTGCTGTCCTGTGCTGTGCTGTCCTGTGCTGTCCTGTCCTGTGCTGTCCTGTGCTGTCCTGTGCTTTGCTGTGCTGTCCTGTCTTGTGTTATTCTGACCTGTACTATCCTGTGCTTTGCTGTCCTGTGCTGTGCTTTGCTGTCCTGTGCTGTGCTGTCCTGTCCTGTCTTGTGTTATTCTGACCTGTACTATCCTGTGCTTTGCTGTCCTGTGCTGTGCTTTGCTGTCCTGTGCTGTGCTTTGCTGTCCTGTGCTGTGCTTTGCTGTCCTGTGCTGTGCTGTGCTGTGCTTTGCTGTCCTGTGCTGTGCTTTGCTGTCCTGTGCTGTGCTTTGCTGTCCTGTGCTGTCCTGTCCTGTGCTTTGCTGTCCTGTGCTGTCCTGTGCTTTGCTGTGCTGTCCTGTGCTTTGCTGTGCTGTCCTGTGCTTTGCTGTGCTGTGCTCCAAAGTCTTTTTAACATGAAAGCTGCTGCTTCAGTGCACACGAGAGGTCGGTGCCGCTTGCCTTTCGGGACGGCATCGAGCACCGACCACTGGTTCGGTACAACACTGGGCTTTGTGCACAGAATCTGCATTTCTTTCTGCTCCTGGCGCCTTGGGACACATGTTAAAACTGTAGCGGTCCCAATATGTTGTTTTAATTGGAAGCAGAAACAAACTCCTGTGGTGGAGTCTTAAGATTTCTTTTCCGGATTATAAAACCATCTCTAATTATCAATGCAAATGAAGAACAAAGGGAACAATGTATTTATTCATTCATTCATTCGAGTGGTTTCACGTTTTTAAAGCTTATTTAAAATAATTTTCAAAATAAAATAATTTAAAATTTTTTTTAAAAAAAACTCTTTGTTCGGACACTTCCGTACACTATTGGCTGCGGCTTTTTTGCCCACAAAATGCACAGTAAATTCACTTTACATTGTGTTCTGATTGGCTCTCGTCAGCGCCTCCATGTCTCGGGCGCTGACAGCATCACCGTCCATGGTTGCACACTCCACCTTACTAAGCCAGTCCCGAACCTTTGCATCTTGTTTGACCCTCAACTATCCTTTCTAACCCATATCCGTGCCATGACCCCCTCTGCCGTCCCCCCCCCCCCCCGCAACTCCGCAATATTGCCCGGCTCCACCACTGTCTCGAACCGCAGGTCGCCAAAACCTTCATTCATGCTTTCATTACATCGAGGCTCAACTATGTAAACTCATTGCTTGTCGGCCTCCCCAACTCCTCCCTCCACAGGCGGCAGATCATCCCGAACTCTGGAGCCCATGTCCTCTCCCGCACCAGCCTCCATGACTATCACCCCCATTCTTGCCCAAATCCACTGGCTTCCCATCGCACAGAGGATACAGTCCAAGATCCTGGTCTTCACCTTCGAAGCCCTTCATAGTCTTGATCCCCCCCTATCTCTGTGACATCCTAACTCCCTAATATCCTGCTTGCTCCCTCCGCTCAGCAAGCCTACTTCATGTCCCCTGCCTCACTCGCCTTCTGCCACTCTGCCCTCACCCTCTGGAACACCATCCCGCAGTCCCTCTGCCTCCCCCCTCCCTTGCCTCCTTCAAGACCCATCTCAAGACCCTCTTTGACCTGCTTCCCACTCCACACTCCCTGATCCTGATCCCCAGCTCAGGTCCAAAAAATTTTGACTTGAAAGGCGCAATACAAGTGTAATTTTGTTGTTCTGTGAAGTGCTTTGAGATGTCTCAACGACGTGATAAGGCACTATATCAAATGGATGGATTATTATTTGTTCAGCACTTGAGATGTAAATTGAAGTTCAATTGTCACTATTACCAATTAATTCAAGAGTTCTAATTTTTCCACTTCTCCCTTCTCTCAGGAGTGAACTTTTCCTTAAGGAATTTGGCTAAAGTGATCAAACCCACAACTATCATCAGTATAGATGGGGGCACTGTCACTGTGAAGACTCAAAGCGCCATGAAAAATACAGAAATCAACTTCAACCCTGGCGAGGAATTTTCTGAGAAGACAGCAGATGGCAGAGACACCAAGGTGAGTCCATCGCAATCCCATCAGGTTAAGTGTTGTTTGGGATCTCTCTCCTTTCTGTGGAGTCCTGTAGGGTAGTGGTTAGAGCACTCGCCTCGCAAGCAAGAGGACCTGGGTTCGATTCTCAGGCAGGGCGAAACATTGGGAAACTTTGCTTATTCCGCACCTAGCAGAAAATAGGAACTCGATTGTTAGTCGATTGGCGTATTGCTTTTCGGGGGGGTAATTAAATCCCTTCAAAAAATTTTTTTAAAAAGAATAATAATTTGGTCACTCAGTCCATGACTGTTTGTAGGATGCCGCTGTGTGTGATTCGCCCACAAAATATAGTCAATTGACTTTACAGTATATTCCGTGAAGCTCTTTGAGATGTCTCGAAGTCGTGATAAGGCGCAATGTCAAATGCAAGGATTATATATTGTTTCCCTCCCAGTCCTCTTTCACCTCTCTGTCTCCCAAATCCTCTCTAATTATTTACTAGGCGGACAGACACATGGTTAACTTCCACAAATCTATTACCTCCAGCTGTGACTCCAGGTCTGCTGATGTTGTGTCAGACATTAAGGCTTGAATGAGTGGAAACTTTCTGCAGTTGAATATAATAATACAATAATCCTTGCATTTGATATAGCACCTTATCACATCTTCAAGATGTCTCAAAGCACTTCAGAGAATATACTGAAAAGTGTTATGACTGTATTTTGTAGGCGAAACGTGGCAGTCAATTGCATAATTGGTTTGATCCCCGGCTGTCCTTTCTACTCCACATGACCACAACCATTGTCCTCCAACTCCGTTACATTGCTCTCCTCCAACCATACCTCACACCCAATACAGCTGAACATTTATCCACGTATTTATCACCTCCCACCTAGATTATTCCAATGCTCTCCTCATAGTATCCCTGGTTCCACTATGCCCAAAATCCAACTGATCCAAAACTCTGCTGCCCATAATTTCCATACCTCCATCATCCCAGTCCTTGCTAGACTCCAATCTGGCTTCCTATCACAGAATAGATCAATTTCAAGATCCTCACACTCATTTATAAATCACTAGATGCCCTGGCTCCTCCCTATCTCTCCAATCTGCTTCCATTGCACTCCACTACCGCCTTCGCTCAGCTGGCTCCGGCCTTCTGCTCGTCCCTTGTCCCCTCCACTCACCATCAATGGCCGTGCCTTCAGCTACTATGCCTCCAAACTATGGAACTAACTTCCTCGATACCAACTCCTTGTCTCCTCCTTCCCTATTTTCCGATCATACCTCTTCGACTGTTCCTATGGTCATCTCCCTTCCTCACCAGATCAGCAACAGGTTCCACCATTGTTAAGCGGTCTGAAACGCTCCTCACGTGAAGGTTGCTATGTAAATGCAAGTTGTTGTCTCAAACTCCTCAAAACTCTTTATTTTTGAATAGTGTCATGGGATCTTTAAGTCCACCTGAACAGACAGACGGAATCTTGGATTAATGTCTTGGATTAATGACTTGTCTGAAGGACTGAGTCTAAATAATTTGTATTATGTGGAGTCTTGTAGCTCAGTGGTTAGAGCACTCGCTTTGCAAGCGAGAGACCTGAGTTCAGTTCCAGGCAAGGCGAAACCTTGGGCAAATTTCCTTAATCCACACGCCTAATAATAATCCCTCCAAAACCAAAAATAATAATAAAAATTGGTCATTTTCAATCTACGACTGTTTGTGGGACATTGCTGTGTGCAATTGGCTGCCGCGTTCGCCCACAAATATACAGTCAATTCACTTTACAGTGTGTTCTGTGAAGCGCTTTGGGACGTCCTCCCGACGTGAAAAGCGCTATATCAAATGCAAGGATTATTATATTATTATCTCGCGCCTTTCATGCAGTGAAAATGATTCCAAATGCTTTACAAAGGCTGAAAGGGATCTTAAGCTGGGGTAGGTAGTGGGAGGTGGGCGAAGGCACAGTTAAAGTTGAGTTTCAACGTGTGGGCAAGGGATGAGGCTGAGCGATTCCAAAAAGGTGGGGTAAAGTGACTGAAGGCTTGCCTGTTGATTGGGCAGAGTGGGTGGGGGATAATGAATCCGTCCGGAATTGGCAGAGAGACTGAGGGTGGGGTCACAGGAAATCATAGTTATGATGGGTCAAGGTTGGGGAGACATTCAAAGGTAAAGGCAGGGATGTTAACGTGTAATTTGCTTGGGGATGGGCAGCCAGAGGAGCTGGATACGGATGGGCTAGCAGGATGTGCACTGTGGAGTTGTGGATGTCTGGAACTACGGAGGCTGGTGAGCAGGCGTTTGAAAAAGTTGAGACTCACGGTCACTAAATGTGAGATGGTGATTGCAGCTGTGTTTGACATGAAGAAGCGGGCAATGTTACTGAGATACAAGAAAGCAGACCTGGTCAGAGCCATTGGTTTAAAAGCGATTTAAGAATGGGGGGGAAAAAAAACAAGGGCTCCACACTGGCTCCGAGACCTAGCATGAACAACTAATATGGTCAAGGTCTTGAGGAGAGGAAGTAGAATCAACATCAGTTCTGTTGATGTTGAGTTTAAAAATAATATTTTTCTATAAATTCCCAACAGACTACAGTCACCATCGATAATAACAAAATGGTCCAAGTGCAGAGATGGGATGATAAAGAGACAACTCTTGTTCGAGAAATGAAGGATGGCAAACTAATACTGGTAAGAGGCTCTCCCCACCCAGTGGTTGTATCGCGCGATACTGAGTACCGTGACTTATGTAAAACAAGTTTATATAAACCCATTTGTTACAACTGACTTTGAGATCATCTTTGGATTTGATATATTTTTGAAAGAATAGTGGCACACACCCAGTTTATTCCCCTTTGTCTTATTTCTTAACTCAGACGTTGACCATGGGAGATGTGGTCTGCACAAGAACCTATGAGAAAGATGCTTGAAGACCCGGAAACGAGGAGAAGGGAAGGATGGGCTCAGTTCAGTGAGCTCCCTGCACTTTTGCTTCTTTTATTTTCTAGTGAACGTTCCCTTTGTATTTTGTATAACCACCATGCACATCGCCCACATCTTTATTAAAGTGGTGTCTTGAACAAGAGAAATCTGGTCCTCCTTCTTGGTGTGTGGAGTGGGTGGATTGAGTTGAAATGAGATGTGGTGGTGAATATGATACAATTGCTCAATTTTCAAAAGTTTTTTTGTAGGTCCTGAAAACCTCACTCTAATTGCTTTGGAATATGGTGTTTGATGACCCGTCATGTAATTACTAACTGAAATTTGAACAGGGCAGAAGTTGGTCACTTGCATTCCTACTGTTGCCTTTATCTCTCTCTGTAAACTATCACAGCTAGTTTGGGGTGAAGAGGTAGTTGGTTTTAAACCCACCCAATGTTGACTCCCAGTACGAGGGCACAACAGGTTTTCTAGATGAAGGATAAAGACTTGAAGGGCTATGGGGACAGGGCAATGAGATTGAATGAACACCTTGTTCTGAGAACTGATGAGGACTCAATGGAATGAATAGGCTCCTACCATTCTGTAAAAATGTATGTGATTAAATCTGCCAATGTTATTAACTAGACAGTTTTGAAAAGAAGGTATTTTGCAAATGTGATGCCAATAGTGGTAGGAAACCCTAAAGTACAATACTTGACATAAGGCTGGAAACAAACCAAATGAAGATGAGGGAAAACACAAACAAACTGAGTTACTGTTTGAAGTACAGTATGTGTGAATGCACAATGAAATGTGGGCTCAGTCACAATATAATAGTGTAGTGCTATCAGACTTGGCTTTTGCCGGTACAAGATCAGGAATTAAATATTCCAGGAAATTTAAAAACGTTCAAGGGAAAGGCAAACAGCTAGCATAGCAGTTTTAAATGGAGATTTTATCAGTGCAGTGAAGGATATTTTCAAATGTGGTGATTAGATGGCTCTGAAGTTATGAGAGTGAGGGAATATGTACCAGCCTGATAATGGAGTCCTATAGCTCAGTGGTTGGAACACTCGTCTTGCAAGCAATAGATGTCGACTCACTTCTCAGCAGGGCTAAATGTTGGGCAAGTTTCCTTAATTCACATGCCTCTGTTTACCTGGTAAGTAGGAACCAAGTTGTTAGTCGATTGTTGGATTGGTTTTCCAGAGGTAATAATTTCTTAGCACTATTCAATTGTCGAGAGGAATTTTTAAAATTAATTGTAACTGCTGATTTGTGGCACTTGTGGTGTGCAAATCCCAAGTTGGCAAAATTCCCCTCCCAAAAAGAGCTGAGAAAATGGCAGCCATTTCCAACTCTACGTCTTTGGGTGGGATGTGGCAGTCAGACTCGATTTCACAAACTAGAAGGTGCAGATGATTTTACATATAATAACAATTTATACAAATTTACATTTGTATAGAGCCCTTCGCGTGGGGAGGAGGTAGCTTGACAATCCTCCCTTGGTATCCCGAGCTGAGAGTGGAGGCTGAGGGCAGTGGAGAGGGAAAAGATGAAGGTCTAGAGACGATCTGGGAGTGGGCGAGTAGGAGGAACTTCCGAGGTGTAAAACATTGAGGAGGAAAAAGTAACAGGACAAAGACAAGTTGGAGCAGCTATGCGAGGATGACCTACAGATGTGAAAAAGCAAATTCCGAGGAGATTGCCATGTTTCAGAGTTAGTTTAGATCACTCCCCTACTACCTCTGAAACCCATATTCAAATGCTGCTGAATCTCATTGAATCAAAATGCTGTTTCCTGGCTGTAAGTTCCCTTTGTGCAATGATTATGGAAATCGTGACCCAATTCCTAATCTATTTGAGTCCACATTTCAGGCCTTGCTGAAAAATATAAGCAGATACAGTATCAAAACTAGGATATAGATTGAGGTGCATTGATTGGGTGAAATTTATAGAGCTTCACACTTGTCTTTGGTTGTACTTTCCCTCTCTTGAGCAGTGCCTGATGAATGATTCTATTTTCCAATCTTTTCTGTTTCTCTGCAATGGTTTCCCAGCTGATGTCCTGTGTCGTGGGTTTTGCTGTGTGTCTGCACCCCGACGATAACAATCCTCCACTTTCCTGGGCTCGAGTGCCAGTGTGTCAATCCGAAGAAGAATTCTGGCACGGACTAGTTTTAGTCAAATTGATTCTTATTTACGGCCAATAAATAAAAACAATGTTACATCTTAACACAGTATAGCCCAAAGGCAAAAAGGCTGGCTGCAAATGCTAGCTGGGAGTCAGGGATGAAATTAGACAGGGACTAGGTTCACATACACAATATGAGGCAGGTTCGTACAAGTTTGATGGAAGATTTCCAGTGTTTTTATTGCAGTGCTGACTCAACTCTTCCATCCAACTCTGACCTGCCTGCATTTCTTCAAGCACTAAAGCCAGTGTTTACTGCATTTGACAAGTGTGCTGTATCATCCCCCTGTTAATTCATATATTACTATATTTAGCAGTATTTAGAACAGACCAATGATGTTTCCAACCACTGTAAGTTGCAGAAATATGGAAGGGATAATAATAATCCTTGTATTTGATGTAGCATCTTATCACATCTTTGTGATATCTCACAGCACTTCACAGGATGTACTGTAAAGTGTAGTGACTGTATTGTAGGTGAACTATAATGATTATAATTCTAAATAATTTTAATAACTTTTCTGCCTCATTTTTCCACTCAAGTGCCAACTTTAGTATAGCAGTGTTTTTCCCAAGTAGCTGTAACATTAAAGCATGCTCATTATGCAGGCAGAGGTTATATCGTACAATAAGTCACTTCATTGCTGTGAGCAAATTTGCTGTAGTGTTTTCCTACACTTGACAGCAAAATCCTGTGAAGCGCTTTGAGGCGTCTGGCTAATATAAGACACTATTAAATGAAAGATTATTGTGAATCGGTGCCATTTATCAAAGGAGCAGCTTAAAACGCCTGTTAGTTTCTTAGCAATCCCCAAAACATCAAACATTTCCAGAACCCAACCCTGACTCGTCATTGAGTAACTTGGTCTGTGTACTTCAGAGTCACACAACAATGATACATGTGGTGCGGTGAGTTCTCATTGCAGCCAAGTTCTGAGTAATTGTTTCTCCACTGAGAGGAAGCTTCTTCCCCAGAGAGCATTATTGTGTAAGAATTGAGATATTAATTTAAAAAAAGTCTGTAGCAATTATTATAATAAGCAAAAACAAGTGACTGTTTAACTCATTCCTAGGTTTTTGTGTACAGAACGTTTTATGGACAGAATGTAATTTGTTTCTCAGCCTCAGGTACAAACATTTTGTTCTCCCCTTTTTCAGATGTACCATTTTACGATTTTATCATGTCACCATTTTAAGAGACATTGTTTACAAATGACATTGTTTTAAACTGTCCATATCGCTTGTCCACATGTGAACTTAAATCTGGAATTCACACAACTGGAAAGCTTAGCTCCTGTTAACCCTGAAAGCCAAAATAGGGTGGTTCTCGTGGGACGATTGCCAGACTTATTTATTTCACTGATGACCTTTGTATTTTTTTTAATCCTCCTAGCAGCCCTGAGATTCTTATTAGTGTTCAGTCAGGGCTGTGATATTAATTGTTGACAAAAGCTCTGTTAGAAAAAGTAAATCTTTTCCTTTCTCTCTTACACATTATTCTGGAAGAAATCAGTTTGTCAATATTAATTTAAATACCCAGTCTAAGAATGATTATGTTGCATATTTTATCGAAGAGAACGTGGGAAAATGAAACGTACTTGCACTTCGATGTGACTGAATTTTCTTTTCTGTGTGAACTGTGTGTGCTTGGGGAAAGGTGGAGACCGGATTGTGAGCTGTTGTTGTTTGAATGGGACATGCTCCCTCATTAAATCTACTTGCTCTGAGGCTGGATGAAGAAGAGGTGTTCGTTGAATGCTTGCTAATTTGAGGTAAAAACTTCCTGTTTGATTCCTTTAAAGATGGCCAAAAAAAAAACTACTTGGATGTCGAGCAATAGCCAGTGGAATCTAATAATAATAATCCTTACACTTGATATTGTGCCTTTCACATCAGAAGACATCTCAAAGCACTTTGCAGGATATACTGTCAGGTGTATCGACTGTATTTTGTAAGTGAACACGGCATCAAATTGTGGGTGCAGGAGTGGCCTGCAACTGGGATGTTACCCCATGTGAAGGGTGTTATATAAATGCAAGGAACGGTAGTTGAGGCCAGGACACTCATTTAAAAAGCAGCTTGATGCTGTGATGGGAGGACAGTGTGGTTGGTATTCAGGAAGGTCAATCTTAAATGGATTGAAGAGCGTTCTTCATCCCAACTGATCTTGTAATATGCAGTTATTGTTTGTGTGCGCTGTCCAGTTGCTTTAGCTTGACATATGCTGTTGTAGGTGCACTAATTCATTGTCTTTATTGAATGCTGTAAGTATCAAATTCTGGTACCATAAAGGATCCACTTACGTTCAGTAAAACTGGTTTGGTGCTGCATTGGAAGGAAGGTAAGGTGGGTCATCCGGAAGGAAGAGATTGGTTAGGCCCCAGGACCTTCACCATATGAATCGATCTTAACAACCAATTAAAAATGTGTAATGAATAAGTAGAGACCTGTAGCTCAGCAGTTAGAGCACTCATTTTGCAAGCGAGAGACCTGAGTTCAATTCCAAACAGGGCAAAACCTTGGGCAAGTTTCCTTACTCCACACGCCTAATAATAATCTCTCCAAAAAACAAAACAATAATAAATTGGTCCTCACATTGGCTGACTTTGGAAACTGGTAAAACAAATAAGTTGCTTTGTGTTTCATCTTGCCTTTGGTAACTAATTCTGAGCCTGCTGAGCGGAGGGAGTGGGTAGGAGATAATAATAATAATAATCCTTGCATTTGATATAGCGCTTTTCACGTCGGGAGGACGTCCCAAAGCTCTTCACAGAACACACTGTAAAGTGAATTGACTATATTTGTGGGCGAACGCGGCAGCCAATTGCGCACAGCAATGTCCCACAAACAGTCGTAGATTGAAAATGACCAATTTATTATTGTTTTTGGTTTTTGGAGGGATTATTATTAGGCGTGTGGAGTAAGGAAACTTGCCCAAGGTTTCGCTCTGCCTGGAATTGAACTCAGGT